GTTTTGACACCACCATCTTTGCCGATTTTTCATTATTGTTTGGCTCCACAGAATGACTTCAAAATTGAGAGACAGGTAACTTACATAACAGAAAACTCACAAAACAAAAATCAGAAAACAATAATAATTTTTGGGTACCAAAATATTTTTTTGCGGGGTCCGAACCCCTTCGAGTTCGGGGGTCAGCTTAGGGGTCTCCATACGTTCGGCCTGGCAACTCTGTGTATATATATATATATATACAAGGTTACTTGACCGAACGTTCGGGGGGCCCCGGGCTGGCCCCCGAACGCTCGGGGGCCCCCGGGCTGGCCCCCGAACGTTCGGGCGTTCGGGGTCCCGTTCGGGGGCCGAACACCTCCAGGTTCGGCCCCCGCCAAAAAATGTTTCGGGGCCTAAAAATAAGTTTTTTTTTCTGAATGTTTTTTTGTGAGTTCTCTATGATGTAACCTACACGCCTATAAATTTAGAAACCATTCTGCTAAGCCAAAAAAACATTGAAAATCGTTCAAGATGGGGGTGTCAAAACGTGCTCGCCCAATCACTATTTCGGGTGAGTGAGAATGCATCCAATGTTCAAGCGTTGACTCCCTCACCCGATATCGAAACACTTACACAACGGACAGAATCCACACCAAAGCATTCAGAAGACGAGAGAAAGAGAGAGAGAGAGGGGTGAGGAGAAAGAGGGGGGGGGGAAGAAGGAAAGAAAGTAGACAATACACCAGGATATAAAATGTTGTCTCCCGAACGCGACTTCGAAAAATATTCAAAAGAAACAAGCGGCGTGGACCCGACTAGTTTCGGTCGGCCGCCACCAGCTCTCCTCAGGGTTCTTGTCGGTCGTGAGGTGACTAACTATACTCGAGTGCATCTATATATATCATGTGTACTGACTAAAGACCCGTAACGAAGAAAACTTAGGACTTGCCGAATAGTATCAGATACACCTGGAACCTTCACCGACAGACTACACCATACGACCCTCGAAACCGTGACATCTTGACCAGTAAACAGACGGCGCAGACCATCAGACAAAAGATCTACGAATCGAAGCTACTCGAATGTCCTGTCAAACCGCCTAAGGGACCTCAATCTTCGAACTCGAGTACCCCATATCAGGCCTTGGGACTGACACCCACCGGCCCATCTTCCAAATAACCGGCCTTGGGACTGATACCCGCCGGCCAAACTGACACCCACTCTGATCCCAAAAAATTTTCCACAGACTACCGACGAACTGCATTGGGGACCAAGTGCAGAAATGACCCCACGACCACGCTTCTTTCTTAATCACCAGTCTTCAAATGAGAGATGTCAAAGAGTGGCCCCATCGAGAGTTACCCATCGTGCATACCTCCCTATTTCAATAAACTCTACCGTTGAAAAACCGATGCCAGCCTGTAAGAATGGGAATCCAATGCTCCCAACACCGCGCATGCTTACGGAAAAAAATTATCAATGCGCTATCGAAATAGTTATCCGGATACTGTCGTAACCACAATTCGTTCTTCAAGGTAAAGAGGAAAGACAATTCCAACCCGGTAACCGAAGTAAAAGTCCTAGCCCTGTGCAAAAAAGAAGTGATCACCGCAAGCTTCTGTTGCCGACTAGAAAAGGAACAGTAATCCTGGATGCTCTGGAAAATCAATGGTTCATTCACCTTTCCTCTCCGATTCTTATGAGTGGCCACGCAGATGACCCTGCACGGGTTTTCCACAACTGTCAAAATGCAACCAATGAAGTCTCATTCCTGACTTGTATTGGTTTGCTCCAACACCAACCCTTTATCATAACAGTTACGAAAACGATCCATAATCCACTCAGCCTTGACCAACGAGGTGTTCTTCGACGACTGTGCTATAACAAAGAACGACACATCATCCACAATCCTAAACCCATACACCAGGCTCCTATCCGAACCCAAAGATGTCATAAATAAATACTCATTATGCGCACACAAAAGACAAGCCAAAGCAGGGCTTGTGGATTTTCCCATGGGAATACCAACGATCTGACGTACCAGCCTTCCTGCAACCATCACGTAAGAATTATCCTGCTCATATTGGACAAATACGAAGATCTGCGAAAAACTCAATTTAATCCAACCCTCCTCACCCTTACCTTTGGACAACCGCACCATCTTGCCGTGCATCCGAACTAAAACTGCAAAAAATCCCTCAGAAGACCAGAAATCCAAGATCCAGCGAAGAGAACGCAAAATAAAGTAGTATTGAAGATTAGAAAACATCTCTTTAATATCGAACGAGCCCCCGATCAGAATTTCATTCTTCCTCACATGCCCATTGATCATCATAATTCTCTGCATAACATCCGATGTACAACGCAGATTGAAGTGCATTTTCTCAGGGATCCTCCACAACAAAAAATTCACAGCTCTTGCCACACGTTTACTGCCCGTTACAGAACCTTCAGTATTCGATGGACAAATCGACCGCCATCTCGAGCTATCTTTGTGCTTAGGTAGACAAAAGACTCGACCAACCGTACCGTTCATCCTCCACTTCCCGTACTTTGTGAACTGACGTTCTTCATAGATCTGCTTACACGACTTGACAACGTCCTCCTCTGACTCCGACATCGGGACGAATGAAGCATTATCCAAAAATAGTTTCTTCAACCCCTCCCCGTAGATAGTCGGACAACAAACAAAAGTGTCACCGAGATTGTGATCTAAGGGAGAACATACCAAACCATCCAATTTCTTCTTCTGATATTTGACCATATCCAAAGAAAAATTGCTTCGATCAGACTGAGATGAGCAAATAGAGGCACCTTCAAGAATGCAAGAATCAAGCAAACCTGGAACAAAGTGGTCGTGATGGAGAGCAGGAAGAGAATCAACCGTAGCAAAGGAAGCAATGATCTGACGCTCGAGAACAGATACTGGATCACCACAGGTCGGATGAAGAATGTTTTTAGAGTTGCGCATGCAGCCGGGAAAGAAGTCCGTCGTACTGATTCGAAACGAAACATGACCGTTGACTCGGGGCAACGACCCATCAACCCCCGCACACACACACCGAAATTCACCACTCCTTACCGCCACGTGGTGGTTGTGCAAAAAATCCCACACGCACTTATTTCTGCACCATACCACCCGTAATCGTCTGATTAACATATCCCCCCATGCCGGATCAATACTAAACTTATTTATCAGGGACGCAGCTGCCTTCCTTATTCCTGCCTTGCAAAACCGATCATCGAAGACAATTCTAATCACCAATCTCTGACGAATATGAATGCCGAACCGTTGCGCAACCACCTCAGATAGAATAATACGAAGTCTACCCCTCGTCCGTTTGTCTTGAAAACAACGAACCGCGGAAAAAGCATATACGAGCCTACCGAACTCCCATGTCTTGAGCTCACATCGGGAGCAAGGATGACTAAGAAACTTAGACAGAGTCGGCTTAAGTGTCAGCGATCGTCTACAGAAAGGAAAAAAAACAGCGCCACCCCGTCTTTCAACCAACCCTTCGAACCCTTCAACTGATCTTTGCCGAAATAACAAGAAACCACAGAAGAACTGTAACATCGTTTCAACACCTTCCAATTGTCCAACAGAAGAGGACCATCACGGCAAACCACCAGTACCTTATTAATAGACTCGTCTCGACAAAAATTTAAAATGCGAAGAAGACTCGTAGAAGACAGCCGCATGAAGCATGAAAAGTCAACAACGAAACATTTCGGATTAGTCGATCGCACTTCCCTAGCTTCCTTTTCAAACGGAGCTTCTCTCTCTTTCTCGGACGTCGCCTCTTGGCTTTCTTCGGTTTATCCCTTGAATTTAATGACGAAGAAAAAAGACGAATATAAAACCGTTCAGTATCCTCCAAATCGTCCTTGGAACATACGCAGACTAGAATAGCCACATACTTCTCTGCCCCGCACCGTCTCAACCAACAATACAGTCGTTCATTTCTCCTCCCCTTCGCAATCACTGCTTCATTACATGCCCTGTACACATGTTCATTCCATCTAGTTTCCACATCTCTGCCCGTGCTTCCTACATATAAATGACGATACCAAGGAGACACTAACACGTAAACCAACGGCCCCTTCAGAATCCCCCCGGACAACCACCACCTTGAGACACACGAAGAAAGGATAGACGCCCAGGGAACCAACCCAAGCAAGATGAGCACGACAACTACCAAACGAAACAATGCATCGACCGCCTTACACCGAAGATTACGAGTAGAAGGAGAACGAAAATCAACATACTTAGCTGCTAAGGACTATAGATTAGTCGTGCTCGGGAGGGACCCTATGAATCAACGTAGTCCCCCCCATCCTCTTTGTTGCCCTCATTGCCCCCGTCATCCGAGATCTCCTGCACAGCCGCCTTCTTGCCAAATGTCTTTTCAACCCGCTTGGCGATGATCTCCGTAATCGTGTCGGGTATAGTTGTATACTTCACACCCTCCTTCGAACGAATCTCCATAAGATCGTTTTTTCTCTTCGTTCGCAGTTCCGTCCTTGCTTCGCGAATGAAGACATCTCGGTCGCTCTCTTGAGCCACATCCTCCCATGCAATCGTCTTCTTCTTCCCACGTACCGTCCTCGCACCTGATCCGCCCGCCTCATCTAGTTTCTGTTGAAAAGCAGACCGAGGAGCATTCTTCGCAGCTTCAATCTTCGCCAATTCTTCTTTCAACTTCGCATTTTCCTGCTCAGCCTCCCGTCTTATGTTCAACTCCTGTTGAGGCGCTCTCGTGCTGCTGCTTTATCATTCGCAACGCTTCCTCCAACGAATCCACTCGCTTATTCGCGACGGCCGCTGCTTCCACCCTAACCTTCATCTCCTCATGCTCTTGTAACAGACGTGCCAATACCGCGTCGTCCCTTACGATGGGCTGACTAGTAGAAGCCTCGTCATTCCTTATTGCCCTACTCTGAGATAGCCGTAAACTCTCAATTTCTTTCTCAAGTTTCTCAATCTTGTGCTCGTCCGCTCCTGAGTTCTTCTTCTGATTTTGAAATGACTCGCATACAGTATCCAGCCTAGCATTCATAGCATCGCCTAACTCCTTCTGAAATGATTCTCTTTCTTTTCTATCCTTGAGACGTCGTTCTTTGTCCTCCCTTTCCTTCTTCAATTTTTCTTCTTCTTGTAGACGTGCTGCTTCTTTCTTCATTGCCACATCGTACCAGGCTCTCATTTTTGCCACCGAATCTTCAAGAGCCATCACTCGCTGGTTGGTATGAAACCAGCCACTACCTTTCGTGTACTGACCATTGGAATTACCGGACGCAGACACCGCTGCATTAGAAACCAGTGGGACAGGGGGCGGAGGAGGAGGAGGCGGGGGAGGAGGAGGAAGCGAAGCAGCAGGCAAGGCAAGAATCGGAGCCTGGCCAGGATTAGGAATAGTAAATTTATGAGTACACCACCGAACGAAATGGTTGGGATCGCCGCAATTGTAACAAGTGCGAACATTAACAAGAGCGAGATTAGCCATAGCTAACACGGATGTCGTCAACCGTAATAGTACGAAGCCACGCGTAGCGTAGTCTAACCTCTACGACGGTTACTCCGCGAAATAAAGTGAGAATGCATCCAATGTTCAAGCGTTGACTCCCTCACCCGATAGCGAAACACTTACACAACGAACAGAATCCACACCAAAGCATTCAGAAAACGAGAGAAAGAGAGAGAGAGAGGGTGGGAGGAGAGAGAGAGGGGGGGGAAGAAGGAAAGAAAGTAGACAATACACCAGGATATAAAATGCTGTCTCCCGAACGCGACTTCGAAAAATATTCAAAAGAAACAAGCGGCGTGGACCCGACTAGTTTCGGTCGGCCGCCACCCGACTAACTTTATTTCGGGGCCTAAACAAAATTATTATTTTTTGAAATTTTTTAATGAGTTACTGATTATATAAACTACATAGTCAATGCCAAAAAATAATTAAAAATCGGCAAAGATGGCGGTGTCGAAAAGGTGCGGGCACACTCACTCATCTTAATTCTTTTTTTATTTTTTCTTATTTTTATCATAGTGTTTATTTTCTGTATTTGATTTTTAATTCAAATTTCGTAAAGAATTTGGATGTATTGCCCAGGCAAATGTTGTTTAGTTTATTTTTCTTCATAACATATGCTTTTTTAGGAATTTTTTGAAAACAATTTTTTTTTTTTTTTTTTTGTCCGCGCTTGGCCCGAACGGCCGAACGCCTTCCGAAGGGGTCCCGTACGTTTGGGCGTTTGGGTTCGGGCATTCGGGTTCGGGCGTTCGGCCCGTCCCTAATGCCGGTTTCCCTATATATATATATATATATATATATCGTCACAAACAGAACTGCCCGGTAAACCGTAGGCAGAGAGAGAGAAGAGGACAACAAACGAGGGGCTGTGACAAACTGTTTCGTCGGAGTTTCACCGACTCATCATGAGGCTGAACCCTCAACAGTCTGCAGAATCCCCTCACTAATTACACTGTAAACGATAATCTACCTTAACCAAAATTAAAGTAGACTATCACTCACCCACACCAGATGAAAAACTCTACAGACTGTCGGTTCACACCCCATCACAAGCCAGCAAAACATCCACGAAACAAAGAAAGGTCTGTCACAGCCAAAAAATACACTCCAGACAAGCGGCACAGCATGGCCGCCTAGTAACGGCCCCGACCACTGCCGCTCGACCTGACCGGAAAAAACCGTAGCAGGAAGCTAGCGAAGTCGTAGCATATATCATCACAAACAGAACTGCCCGGTAAACCGTATATATGTATATATATGTATATATATATATATATATATATATATATATATATATATATATATATATATATATATATATAGGGTAACCGGCGTTCGGGACGGGCCGAACGCCCGAACCCGAACGCCCCAATGTATGGGACCCCTTGGGGATGCGTTTGGCCGTTCGGGCCGAACGAGGACCCAAAAAAAAAAAAAAAAAAACCAAATTCATCACAAAAATCTGAAAAACCGATATGTTATGGGGAAAAATAAATTAAACAAGATTTGCCTAAGCATTACATCCGAATTCCTTACCGAATTTGAAATAAAAATAAAATACAAAAAATAAATACAAATAATAAAAATTAATAAAAATAAAAAGAGAAATAAATTTAGTGAGTGTGCGAGCATGTTTTCGACACCGCCATCTTTGGCGATTTTTCATTTTGTTTTGGCATAGCTAAATGCCCTGAAAAGTTACAGATGTGTACTTCACATAATAAAAAAACCACTAAAAAAGTTTTAAAAAATAATAAAATTATTTAGACCCCGAACTAAAGTGAAAACAAAAAGTAAAAAGTGAACAAATACGTGGGCGAGCACATTTTGATACCGCCATCTTTGGCGATTTTTAATTATTATTTGGCTTAGCTAAATGACTTGAAAATTTACAGGCATGTACCTCACGTTATAGAGAACTCACAAAAACTAAGTCAGAAAAAAATAATTATTTTTAGACCCCGAAATAGTTTTTGGCGGGGGCCGAACGCCGTCGGGGTTTGGACCCCGTACGGGACCTCGAACGCCTGTACGTGCGGAGGTCTGCTCGGGGACCTCCGTAGGTACGGGCTGGTGACCCTGTATATATATATATATATATATATCGTCACAAACAGAACTGCCCAGTAAACCGTAGGCAGAGAGAGAGAAGAGGACAAGAAACGAGGGGTTGTGACAAACTGTTTCGTTGGAGTATCACCGACTCATCACGAGGCTAAACCATAATATATATATATATATATACATACAAGATAACAGATTGTCACAGGCCCGTTGTTTATCGTTCTCTTCTCCCTCTGTCCTTATAAGTCGAACAACGAAACGAAGAGCAAAAAAAAAAAAAAATTACAAAAAAAATTCCAACCACATTCACATTTGCGACCCATCGAAACTTTTGAATCCTGTTCACATGATGCGGACGAAGGGGGAAAAAAAATACAACAAAAAACTTCAAATAAATTGATACAACAATCGTCACGGGGAAAAACAAAATAGGGTGTTACGATTCTCGTTTGCATTACATGCGTATAGCAGGAAATAACAAAATTTTCAAAAAAAAAAAAGTCTGAAAAAGATTGCAAGAACGAATAAAATGTATCCCCATAGACGAAGCAACTGCACCGAGCCGAAAACACTTTCAATAACAAATCCAAGTTTGTCACGACCATTGCCATCTTTACAAGCCACGTGGCAGCTATGGTTGCCTTATCCGCCGTCACGAAACTAGCAGGCACGGTGTGGACAGCCAACCAACCCACCATCACCACAATCGCCATATCGTGACTTCCTACACGAACGACGAGAATAAAAAAAAACATAAAATTTATAAGCAAAAATATAATGCAAGATCAAACAACCACTGACCTGTTTACAAGCCACGTCGCACCTATGGCTGCCTTATCCGCCGTCACAAAAGTACCGGCCACGGTGCGGACGGCCAACCAAGCCACCATCACCACCATCGCCCTTTCGTCAAAAAAACAAAAAAGAAAAAAAAAAGAAATAAAGTTCGAAGATTTCGAACTAGTTTTTATTGAAGACGATTTTCGAAGAAAAAAAAAAAAATACAAAATGAAAAATTTTAATCCCAAGCACCATGAAACTAAACCGCCTAAAAAATTGCACCTCCAACGCCACCATCCCCTCCTTCCTCGTCTCCGCCATCTTCACTCCCTCCCCCTTCCTCATCGCCGTCATCTTCACCCCCTCCCCCCTCCTCATCGCCACCATTTTCACCCCATCCCCCTTCGTCATCGTCGCCATCGTCACCCCCTCCCCCTTCCTCATCGCTGGTGGGAGGCGACAGTAGGTGACCGTTTGGCGGAGGGGGGAATGTCCACGGGTCGAAGTACGAGTACGTGGCGGCTATGGCCGCCCAACCGATCGGACCGCGCGTCGGATCGCACCCCCAACCACCATTTCGCCCGGGCCGACCTTGCGGAAGGTCCCCCCATCCCTCCGCATTATGCACAGTTGTATCCGACGTTGATTGCCCAACCTCGCCTGAGGGCGTTGATGAAGAAGATGGGGAAGCGGGCGGAGGTAGGGGATTCGTGACGAGAACGGGGTTCGCACCAATCCCCCCCTCGCCATTTGCAGCTGACGAAGACAACGACGACAATGGCGCCGTCGTACGTGGGGACGCCGCGCCGCTTTCATCGGCCATCTCTCTCTCTGCCTCTCTCTCTCTCTCTCTCTCTCTCTCTCTCTCTCTCTCTCTCTCTCTCAATCCCAGCTCTCCCCTGTTTTTTATAGAAGAAGAAGAAGAAGAAGAAGAAGAAGAAGAAGAAGAAGAAGAAGAAGCAGCGAAAGAATAATAAGAAGACGAAGGAGATAAGAAAAAGAGGAAGAAGCGAAAGAAGAAGAACTCTCTGTATTCCAAGAACAAGAAGAAGATGACGAATCGGAACAAAAAGAAAAAGAAGAAGACGAAGCGAAAGAAGGAGAAGAAGACGAAGAAGAAAGAAGAAGAAGGAGACCTACAACTAAGAAGAAGCGAAAGAAGAAGAAGAAAGACGACGAAGCGGAAGAAGAACAAGAAAGACGAGCAAGAGAAGAAAGAAGAAGAAGAAGTCAAAGACGAAGAAGAAAGAAGAAGAAAACGACCAAGAAGGAAGAAGAAGAAGAATACGAAGAACGAAGAAGAAGAAGAAGAAGAAGAATGAAGAAAAAGTAGAAGATCGAAAACCAAGAAGAAGAAGAAGACCACCAAGAACGAAGAAGAATCTCTCTCTCTCTCACTCTCTCTCTCTCTCTCTCTCTCTCTCTCTCTCTCTCTCTCTCTCCCCCGTCCGCGATGCGGACGCACCGTACGGACCTCTTGACGAAGAAGTCTCTCTCTCCTTCTTCTCGAACGGACGTAGGAAACATATATATATATATATATATATATATATATATATATATATATATTGTCACAAACAGATATATATATATATATATACAAGAGAGAGAGAGAGAGGTATCCACGCTGGCGACGTCTGCGGCAGGCCTTCGTGGAAGGGGGTATGCAGGGGCGAT